ACTAAATATACTTGCATAGAGAGAGTTGAGTGATCAAATCCTCAAAACAGAGTATCTCCACATACCAGTTCTGCTTGCCAGAGCATACCCACTAAGCACTATCTGCCTTATCTGATTCCAAACCAGAAAGCCAGGCTGCCTATTTCTTATCTGAAAATAGGGTAAGACTACTTTAGAGCTCAAGACATTTCATTAGTACTTACTGGATAAAAGCTTTGGCCAAGTGATCAAGACAAGAGGAAACAAGAAGGACAAATAGTCACACAAGCAGTTGGTCTCCCTGTGTGTGAGGAAAGCAAAAACCACCCTAGAATGCCTCTCAGCAACTTCCTCACTGTCAGCACTATGTAACACAGCCATCCCCCAATGTGAAGACTATGAAATCAAGCACAGTATTTAATTTTCTTGTGGCCCTAGCAAAGGGAGAAAAGGAAGACATGCTGAACAAGCCAATCTTTAGTATACGCCCCACTAGGGAACATCAAATCAAGCAAGTTTATTTCCTTCTAATTTTAGAATGGCTAGAACAAGAAAAATTTAAAGATAGGAGATCTGAATGGTACTTTTTTTGTTTTTTGAAACTGAACTTAAGGAACAGTTCATCTGATCTTCACTGTGGGCAAAAAATTATCAAAAACCCAGATATAATTAGACCCAGAACACTTAAAGCTTCCTGTCCATTTTAGAATCTCTACTGGATCTTCCTTAGGCCCACCTTAAACACCTCTGGTACTGCCTAGGCTTCTCCTATCTTGGCATTCTATCCTCATTCATGCCTAAAGCTTGAGGAACCTCGTGCATTTTGGAGATTTGCATTTTTAAAAAAAAGTTCTAGCCCAAATCTTTCTGTATCTCAGACCCACAATCCAGTTACAAGCTGAATATTTCTATTTGGCTAACCTTCTTTTCCCCAATGACCAAGGGCTGAACCCAGGCCTCACACATGCTTTGCAAGTATTGTACCACTGAGATATACTAGTCCCAGACATAATAATCTCAAAGTGTTTGAAACAGAATCTATTCTTGGCTTATTCAAGCCTCTACATATTCTTGTGCTTTTTAGGGTTTGTTTTGTTTTGTTTTGTTTTTTTCTTTTTGGTACTGGGGATCGAACTCGGGTCCTTGCCCTTGAGAGTCAGGTGGCAGAACCACCAAGCTAAACCCCTGGCCCTTTCTTGTGCTTCTTAATCACATTATGGCAGCATTCAGTTTTCCAAGTCAAACCCTTGGAGTCATTATATCACTGCACGTTCGTCATTCCATATTTATCAAATCCTTTTGATTTTATTAAACAAATTCGATCCTCTTCTCTAAATGTCCATGGCCATAGATCTATCTACCTCAGGCACTCATCATCTTTCATTTAAACTATCACAACTCCTTTAAATTAATTTGTTTGGCATAATCTCTTCCTTCTTTTCTGCCTATTTCTTATGTGCCTAAAAATTAGTCCAAAGCCCTGATTTATATAACAAGGTCCATTGGCTCTTTTTGTTTTGCTTGAAATAGGGTCTGGCTATGTTGTTCAAGCTGGCCTTGAACTCATATAATGTAGCCCAGCCCAGGATGGCCTCAAAATCATAGAGATCCTCCTGCCTCAGCCTCCAGAGTGCTGGAATCACAGGTGTGTGCCACATGCCTGGCTTCCATGCCTTTCCTACGGTTGCAGCCATGGACACATGGTGTTTCTTCCTGTTTCTATTTCTTCCTCCTATACTTTATACTGCAGATATACTCACCATTCTATATATGTCAGACACTTCTGGGTCTTGGGTTGGTTTGTTTTTGCACAAACTCTTTTTTCTGTTTATGGTGCTTTTAATTAACATTTTTTTTTTCAGTACTGGGGATTGAACCCAGGGGCTTGTGCATGTTAGACAAGTGCTCTAACACTGAGCTACATTCCCCAGGCCTTAACTTCCTTCTTTAGAAGTAAATTCTTATCCTTTCCAGAAGACTCAGCTCAAATATCACCATCTTTGTGCTCCTCTCCTTGTCACCAGAGCAAAGGCTCCCTTTTATTATACATTTTTGTTATACATTTTATTATACATTAAACACCCTGTAGAATTATGATGTCCGTTTTCCACACTCTGCATATGAACAGTACACAGGCACAGAACAGGCCATATATAAATGCTTGGTAGTGAATAAACCAATTTCTAACATCAGGCTATGTCTAATTTATATATTTAAGGAAAGGAGAAATGTTTATAGATAAGAAATAGAATACCTTAAACATTTATCTTTTTTGTGTGTGTGCTGGGACTCTTTGAACTCCACTCTTTTAGTTCTTTATAAAATATATGATACACTGTTGTGAACCATAGTTACCCCACTGTTTGTTCTGTAAAACAATAGAACTTTTTCCTCCTAATTTTGATACCTGTTATCCAACCTCCCTGTATCACGTCCCCTCCCCTTGCCAGCCACTGTTTTATTCTCTACTTCTATGAAATCATTTCTTTAGTTTCCACATTTGAGTAAGAATATGGAGTATTTGTATTTTTCTGTCTGGCTTATTTCACTTAACATGTCTTCTGGTTTCCTCTTGTTGCTGCAAAGATAGGATTTTACTGCTTTGCTATAATAGTGTATATATACTACATTTAGTATAT